ATGACCATACTCCTGGCAGTTGGTGCATTGTACAGGGCCATTTCTCTCATGCGGTTCTTCCACAGTTATCCTACGATACAGCAGATATTGTAATTTATAAATTGGATGCACATCGTTTTTGCCCAGAGGTTTGTTTTCAGGCTCGAGCTCAACTTTAAACATNGTTCTTTAAGTGCTTCCAAAACTTCCACAGCTTCAACGCTTGGTTCGATACCTTTAATTACAATTTGTAGACCTTTTGCACTTTTAAGTTGGTATGTATAAAATTTTGTGTTTGTGTCATTCAGGTATTTGGACACTGTTCGAAAATCCTGTTCGGAATAAATTTGTACTTTAGTTTCGCGAATATTTCCCTTAGATAGTGGGATAATATGAAACTTATTACTACCGATTAGCTGTGTGAATTTTTTTACAAGAGCGCTTGGATTCTCTTCTCTCTTCAGAAATTTGGCTATTCACATCATCGGCATCATAGTAGTTGAAGTACTTATCTAAGGCGGCGGTGACCTCTCGGGTGCTGGTCGAATTAGTTGGGTATATTTCTACAAACTTCGTGAAAGCGTCAACTACTACTATACTAGATGTACTTCTAGATGTTGTCCTCCATTTCGCCTGGAACACAGACTCGCCTACTACCGTCCTCCCGTAGCCTACATACGAGGCCGTCCTGCAAGTCAAAGTCTTTTACCTTCCCCGTCAACAATTTCTCACGAATATCTTAGATTTTCGTCTCGTTCTTGAGCTACCTGTACCCGAAATTCTACGTCGACCGTGTCATAATCCACCGCCATAACACAGCGGCTCAGGGTGTCTACATGTCTCATGGCAGTGCCTCTGCGGTGTACAACTTTATAATTATAATTCTCTAGCTCCAAAGCCCACCTGGTTATCCTAGCATTAATTTGTTTTCTTTCGAGAATCAGGGCAAGGGAGTTACAGTCAGTTACTATCTGAAAGGGGATCCCTTCTAAATACGGCCGGAATCGTCGTAGGGCATACACTATCGCGAACGTCTCTAACTCGAAGCTGTGGTATTTCGCTTCGGCGGCTGAAGTGGTCTTGGAAAAATATGCCACCGGGTGCATTTTCTTATCGTCTTGTCTTTGCAGTAGGACGGCCCCGAAACCCGTTGCGCTGTCGTCGCAGTGTAACTCGGTCTCTCTCAGTGGGTTGTAGATTGACAGCCCCGGGGCCCTCGACAGTTCCGACTTTAACCTCTGGAATGATTCTATGCAATCGTGGTCAAATAAAAAGGGCGTGCCCTTTTTCAATAAGTTCAGCAAGGGCCTAGCGATTCTGGAGAACGAAGGTACAAAACGTCTGAAGTACGAAAATAGCAGGACTGTAGCTCTTTATAGCTGATCGGCATTGGGTACTTCTTGATGTCATTGGTATGTGACTCGCTTAACGTGATTCCAGCGGCTGATACCGAGTAACCCAGATATTTTATTTTACTGTAACCGAACTTACACTTTGACAGATTTAGCGTCAAGCCTCTTCGTCTTATGCGGTTAAATACCGTTCGCAAGAGATCTCTGTGTTCCGCAAAGTCAACTGTCGCTACTATAATATCGTCCATATATATTATGATTTTCCTACCTTCGATGAGATCACAAAAAATATTATTGATGAACCTTTGGAACACGGCCGGAGCGTTTTTTAAGCCCAAACGGCATTTTGAGGAACTCATACTGTCCGCCCGGGGTAACAAAGGAGGTATATTTAATAGAATCTGGCGAAACTCCAACCTGTTGAAAACCGTTCTTCAAATCTAGCACGCAAAATAGTTGTTTACCTTCCAGGTATTCTACGCAATCGTCTATGAGCGGTAGTGGGTAGTTGTCGCAGACAGTGATTTTATTTAAGCCTCGGTAGTCGACACAAAGGCGCAGCTGCCCATTTCTTTTCTTTACTAGGACTATCGCGGATGCATACGGCGAGTTACTAGGGCGGATAACATCTCTCGTCTCTAGGTCCTTTACAATATCTTGCATGGCTGTGCGTTCAGCAAAAGAGAGCCGACGAAGAGCACAGTAGAAAGGCACGTCTGAAGTTAGGTGGATATTTATTTTGTATTCGTACGGCTCTATCTCTACGTTGGAACTGATATACGATTCGTACACTACGGACTTTAATTGCTCTCGACAGGCTGACCCTAACGTAAGATCTATATCTATGTCGGTATCTCCACTACCGACCTCTATGTTAAAAATATCTGGCACTTCTGAGGTAGGACTGTCGCGGCAGGCTTACCCCAACGGACGGCCAATATTTACATGAACTTCATCAATACCTAATTCATAATTAAGAATATTTGGTGCTACTAGGTTAACGTCTTCACGGCAGGCAATATCTACATCAGCTTCTTCATTACAACGGTTAAAAATATCTGGTCCTGAACGGCCAACATCTACATTGACTTCATCAATACCTAATTCTGAATTAAAAATATCTAGCGCTGCTGAACTAACATCTTCACGGCTGGCAATATCTAAATCAGCGTCTTCATTAAAACGGTTAAGAATATCTGGTCCTGGACGGCCAACATCTACATCAACTTCATCAATACCTAATTCAGAGTTAAAAATATCTGGTGCTACTGAGTTAACGTCTTCACGGCAGGCGCGTCCCCCATGGTCTCTGGAAAGGCTGAACCCGTTGATAACATTAACCAATTCACCCGGCAGAGAAGTGCAAAGTTTTTTTGATTTTCTAACCGATTTTAATTCATTTATTGAATATTTAAATTTCACTTTTGTTAAACGTATTTTATACGTTTTTAGAAAATCGCGGCCCAAGATTAGGGGAGTGTACATTTCATTGTCACGTAAAATATTAAGCTTAATTTTATTTAATTGATTTTTGTAGTTGATGGTGCAGTCGACAACGCCTACTACGTTAATTCTTTTGCCTCCAACCCCAACGTAACTACGCTCCGGCTTATTAAATGTATTGAGGCATTTGGGGACGCAGGATTTCTTCACGAAACTAGTTGGACTGCCGGTATCAAAAAGAGAAACGAAACTGTTAAACACTGCACTTCCCACCGGGTCAATATCAAAGCAATACTTACTAAGTCTAAATTATCGAGTCCCACGACGTCTTCGTAATATACGGCATTTACTGGTTGGTCGGGCAGCGACTTCAGGCTCTTTTTCGGGTTGGGGCAGGAACGGTGGTCATGCCCCATCTTCCAGCAGCGGAAGCAAGATCCATTGGGGCGTAGGTCGTACGGGCATTTTGGCTTTATGTGCCCACGTTGACTGCAGTTGAAGCATAGCGCCATCGGCATTGCCCCGTTTTGCAGGCGCCTGCATAGACAGGATGTAAAAGTGAAAGGTCTCCCGTCGTCTGTCCCACCGCTTTCCTCCCAGCATCCGATAGATGTCATGTCTGCTAGTTGGGATGGCGAATTCCTCCATGAGGGCCTCCTTTAGCGTTTCGTAGCTTAGCGCCGAGGTAGTGGACAGGAAAAGTTTGGCGGTGCCCTCGAGCGAGCGACGTAGGCTTAAAAGCCTGAAGCGATCATCGGCTTCGACCGTCCTCATAATCTCCTCAAAGTCCGCTAAGAAATTCCCTATGGTTTGGGCACTGCCCTCTAAGCTGAACTTAGGCAGCGCGTGTTCAATATCGCAAAATTCTGCTTTGCGGGTGGAGCATGTTGGCGAACCTGTCTTCGAGCTCCTGCACTTGGCGTCTCAATTCCAGCAGTTGCTTTTTGCAATTCTTCTATCTGCTTTTCTAAAGGTGTCGTGGTTATCCCCTCGGCTGGGATGGGTTGGGCGGTTACGACAGTAGACCTACGACGGCGGCGGCGAACGTATGGGGCATGGCGGCGGTGGCGGTCATTCGGGCCGTGGTGTCGACCAGTGGTATTGGCGGCAGCGGCATTTCCATTAACTATGGCCGCAGTCCTCATGGCGGCATTAGCGGTGGCGATAGCTTTTCTGGCGGCGTCAGCGGCACGTTCGTCATCGTTCATAATATCGGCGGTGGCGGCATTGGTGGTGGCAACAGATTTATTGGGGGCGGCAACGGCACGTTCACTATCTGGGGGCCGGTCTCAGAGGTTGTGGTGGCAACGGGAAGTTTTTCGGCAGTGGCTGCGGCAGGCCGGGTGGTGCCCTCATTTTCGGCATTAGTTAGGGTGGCTGTTAGCGCGCTGGCGCCAAAGCCGGCGAAATCATCCACGTCTGCGGATACCACCCATACGGGATCCTCTTCTTCGGAGTTAGAGGCGTCATCCTCGTGCTCTTCGAGTTGGTGGAGTCCGGCGTAGAGGCGCTTTAGTTGGGTTAGGTTAGCCGACTTGGAGAAGCTTATGCCCGCGTTACCCAGTGCCTCAACTATCGCCTGCTTTGTTATTCGCTGTGACATTTCGGGTGAATAAGTAGTCGCGCTTGTGGTTCAAGTGCTTTATTTAGGTTTTTTGTCCACACCTGAGTTGTAAACTCCAATGATGTCCTACATTTTTCCGGATTTATTCCTTCGTGGTAAAATAGGCTGCAGCTCTCCTTTCAGGAATCGGTCAAAATGGCCGAGCTGTCAGATTTGATAGCTAAGGTTGCCAACGTTATGGATATTAACGCAGTGCTACCAATGGTAATTCTCTACCGTTTCGTTACTAGTACTTTCTTTGCGAATACTTTACAAAATTGATATATTCGTAAACGTAAATGTTCCAGCACGTTCAAACTTGATAATGACTAAGATGATGAATTTTCGTCAGAAGCAATTCGCACTTCAATCTGAATGTATTAAAAGGTTAGTTGATAGTTGAAGACTTATGTTGAGACAAGAAAACGCAATGCTTCTTAATTATCAATTGATGTTGCTGTTAATTCATCGTACCGCATAAAATAATTATTCAATTCAATCCAAAAAAATTAGTACAATTCGCGCTTTTCTTCTTTTAAAATGAATTTCAATTCTTAAAAACTTTGATCGCCAAAAATTTAGGATATATGTATATTTACATGTATTTAAGTTTATTTTAAAGTAAAAATATTTTAATGTTTAAACATTGAAAGTTTATTTATTAATAATCAAAAATTTTCTTTTTCAATAAACAAATTCATAGAACAATAAATTTAACTTCAAAAATTTAAACAAATGTAAAATTATACAGTTTAATTACCCTACAGTATGTAACTATTAAAATAAAAGTTAGCTTTACCTGAGTAAAGTTTCTATGAATTTCCTAAAAGAAAAGAATGTAAAAAATTTACCGTATTCTAATGTACGTGTGAGTTTTTGTACTATTCTAACACATGTTTATAGGAATTTTTCGAAGAAAGTTTTGATTCTGTTTGAGATTCGAAAAAGAAGATATACTTGTATTGGAGCATAGGTTAAATTGTTCCGTCAGGGTGTAAAATTAAAAAAAAATGGAATGAAAATTTTCAAAGACACTTTTCTCGACAAGCCCTGTATGTATGATTTTAATTTTTGAACTTTAGAAACTAAAACCAATACACTTTTAAAATTTGCAAGATTGTCCAATGTCCAGCAAACTTTCATTTAATCTCGATTCAGGCGCACCGTGACATATGTGCATATGGGACCTTATTTTCGATTTGTCGTAAGCGACAATGGGCAAATTTTTTAGGTCTCGTTTAATTCCCCATTACACAGTGTAATAATTTACTTGGATTTAAATGACAACATAATGGAATGTTAGCTTTTTAATAGGACCATTAATTTTTTGCGGACGCTGTGGTATAGTGGTTTAAAGTGCGCACTACCATTCCGCGGGGCTTGGGATCAAGCCCAGGTTCCGACTAACATCAAAAACAAGATAAAAAAACTTTTTCCTAATAGCGGTCACCCCTCTGCAGGCAATGGCAAACTTCCGAGTATATTTCTGCCATGAAAAACAGCTTCTCAAAAAATACAATCATCGTTCGGAGTCGGCGTACAATTGTAGGTCCCTACCCTTTGGGTGATAACATCAACGCGCACGCAACACATCGGAGGAGAGGCTCGGCCAAACACTAACAAACTATGAATATGAATGACTAACATTTTACGTTAGCGCCAATCTATTATTATTATTTATTCATTTGCGTATATTATTGCTTAAAGGTATAATCTCGCTTACGATACTTTTCGTGAACATGCTGAGAGGAAATTTTTCAAAGTATTGGCGCTGACGACAGGAGTACGGATACTTTAAGGATTGAGTGAATTTTAATCTACGCATATACATATACATATATACACTGCCACTCAGCAGAATAAAAGTTTTTCCGTTTTAATACACTAGTCGAGTGGAAATTTTAGGCAATGACGTGAAATTTTCGATACGATTCGACTTTGGAAAAACGACTTGCATTCGACACGACTCTCGCAACGAGGGTGAATACTATTTATTATTTGTTGACGTTTTTTAAAGGAATGAAAAAAAGTTAAATTGAATCCTACTATAGTTTTATTAAAAATTACCCTAAAATATTTGTCATGAAAAACATTGTAAATCTTATAAAATAGATCAGTGTGTGGAATTTTTTGACGCTGGCTGTTTATCTATAACGAATAACAAATAACAAGCTGTCAAGGTATACTACACAGGACCCTCTTGCTAGCAAAAATTACTGAATGCAGCTAAAAATTTGTGACGGATATGTGTGAATACAACTGCTATTTTGACTGTGATTGAACTGTGACGGTCGGTTCGGAACCGCGGTGGAACTGTGACGTGACTGATGTGCGCGGATAGATCTTTAGCTGGTGCTAAAATGACAATTTCGAAATCAGTGGCAATTTTTAATATACCAGTTCATAAATTAAGAATATAGGCCCCCTTAAGTGTATGTTGTTCATCTTTCTAATACGCTTCTAAATCTTAAAACCCCTTTGAGAGAGAAGCAGTTTCAAAAAAGATGCCTCCAGACGAGACTCTTATCGTGTTGTTCGTTTCTACCAAAAAATTTCGCCTTTTGATTGCCCCTTTCTCTTGTCGTGTTTGATTCTAAAACAAAGGCAAAAGGTAAGAGAAACTTTGTGTTCGTTTCTTTCAAATGTCGCACTCTTGTAAGGCAAAAAAGGCACATTGTCTGCCCATTGAAGCTTTGTCAGGGCAGATGATTGCCTTGAAAATCAATGGTTGCGCAAAACGAAAAAATTATGAAATGCGTTCGCTAGACAAGGACAGAAAGGCAAAAACATCCCAGCAAACACAGTCTCTAACGTTAGAGAAATTTGGATTTCTGCATTAGATAACTAGGGCAATTCTCTAATCGTTCTCGAGTCGATGACGAAGTTAGAGAACTACATTAGAATTCCATTCGAGAACGATTAGAGAAACAACGCAAATTCAAATAAATGTAAATAAGCTATATTCCAAATGAATGAATTATAAATTATTTTTAAGTTCAAATAATTCATTATTATTTTATTGTTAATACATTTAATACACATTTCGCAAACAAAGCATTTTATTTAACAAAGCAAAAACAAAACAGTTTGATTTTCACATTCGAATCCCATTAGAGATCAACATTAGAATTCGAGTAGAGAATTAATATTTTCTCGAGTCGAGAACTATGTCCCATTTTTGTTGAGATCCCTATGATTCTCGATAGTTTTTCGAATCGTTCTCTAACGTTTGAGATTGGAGAATGCAATTTCTTTTATTCCGCGAAAAAACTTGAACGGAGAAAATCTTTTCGAATGCACTTAAACTTTTTTCCCCTTTTGATCAGCGAGTGACTGTGGACGTGTTTTGGCGCATACATATAGTTATTTTGAGGATCAACTTTTTTCTGCGCACTTGCACATTTGAATGTGCTGTACCTAAAAATTTTTTTTCTTGTTGAAGTGAGCATAAAAGCAATACTATAGCAAATTTTATTTGCTCGTTTGTTTCTCCGTTTGAGACCGCCTCTTGGTCAACTTTGGATTTAAAAGAACACCTTCCCTGTCGTGATAAGGAAAGCAGGTGAGTGGTTTTGCAAATTAAATTATAAGTTGTGACATTTTTTGGTGAACTATTCCTATGCGTTGGTTTTAATTAAAAGTAAGCCTGCCGCGTACGGCAGCAAAAAACACCTATGGCGTCCCCGTCATCGAGGGCGTCATCGGCTGACGAGTTCGAAGCCTTTGCGGGTGCCAATTTGGCCACGGGCGAACGGCTTAGAAAGAGTGCGGAATCCCATTTAATTAAAAAAAATTTGAAATCCCAAGAGCTGTGTAAACTCAATTTTGACTCAGGTGTAATCAGTGAGGTTAGGGTCGCAAAGTCTAGCGAAATAAGTGAAACGTGTGTAGATGTACAACTAGATAACGGGACAGGTATGAATACCGATAGCCCGCTAATGGATTTGACTAACGGACCGCAAGTAGACACAGTGGTGGCGAACAGCGTTAGCACAAATGCTAATAATGACACGACACTGTACCCAGCAAACTTTTCTGGTGTATATCTTGTATTAGTTGACTCGTCACAATGTGGTGACATGAATAACGAAAGAATCACTAGCGGTTGAACTCTTTTTGACAAAATCAAAGGCCATACACAATATGCCTGCAAATCTAAGAAACGTTGCATCAAGTGTGGTCTCACCACATGTGACGAAAATTCTTGCAAAAAAAAATTTATTTTATGCGGCAGTTCAGACCATGTCTCCACAGATAAGCTCACTTGCGCGGCTTGGGAAAAGGAGCGCACCATTAACCATATTAGAACCGTTGAAAATCGTTTCGAACTTCTTTAAGTAGAGGATTCAGACTTTCCGCCACTCGCGTCTGAAAACGAAAATATCCAAAATAGAGACACTAACGTTAACAAAAAACTTACTAGGCACAAGTATAGCTCTATGGCACGCAGCCGCAGTTCCAGAAAGTACAAAGCAGTTCCAATGCAGCCAGCCACTAGGGAAAGTAGGGTAAGACCACCCAGAGATTCTGTGCTAGAAAAGCCAGAATACTTGAATGGAAGGGTAACTGAAATGGAAAAACTCTTGTCAGAATTGTTCAAGTTAATTAACAGTGCATGCGCCAATGAGCACATGCAAGGAGTCCTAGGGAAGGTTACAGCCCTAAAGCAACAATTTGAGCGTAATTCGATACAAAACGAGGTTGATATGATCAGTATGGGTACAGACATCCCCCTCAAATATACCATATGAAAATCTGCCAATATAACTGTCAATCACTAAAAGTTAACATTACCAACTTTGAATACTATTTAAATCATTATAACTGTGACATTGCATGTCTCAGTGAAATATTCACCTCCAATGAGCAACAACACAGAAACATTATCAACTACAATATTATAGAAAAAAACCGAGAAGATGGATATGGCGGCGTCGCCATAGTCCTTAAAAAACAAATTACATTTCAAAAATTAAATTTCCTCAATCCTAACTTAATTATCTGTGCAGTTTACTTTCCACTTACAGTTCCAATAAATGACTTTAAGAGCGAAATTCAGAGACTCCTTACATATCTTGAGCAGTTTAGCAATGTCCTTATTCTGGGAGATTTCAATGCTAGGGCGAGAGCGTGGGGGGATCACATTCAATCTTGTCGAGGAAACAACCTACATAAAATTATTTTAAACATAATTTCTGGCATTTAAATGACGGTTCGTCGACATTCACAAATGACATGCTGGCTTCTAATGGGTCAGTGCTTGACTTGTCATTTACAAATAGTAACATTCAATTTGTCTGGAAGGTCGACCCAATCAGGCTAGGAGGAAGTCACCATTTCCCCATTCTCATTGAGTCCACTGCGGTCATGCATCAGGGACGCAGGTTCCTATCCCAAAAAAGCTATTTGCCAATCTACAACTAACCAATTTCGATCCTAACTTTAATGACATACATAATCAGTTCCGAACGGAAATTGAGGCTGCCACATATACGCTCAGTGCCAACAGATCCCCAAAAGCTTGGTGGGATG